GTTATCGTTATTGAATTATTTGTCTAGAGCGGTGTCTCCGCGACGGAACCGTAACCACTCGTCTTTCGACTCGCCGTGCACATAATTGTTGCGCCGGCATGCCTCGCTCGAGGTTCTCAATGATCTATCCAGCTCGGAATGGAATCGCGGAAAAAATGTCCGATCGCCGGAGCAGGGAGGCGTTCCGTGCTCGATCCCCGAGGCGCCGATTTCGACGGGACTGATCGCTTCGAGCGCCATTTTTGGCGACGAAACGAATTCCGACGCTGTATATGGGGGTTGCAGCTGTAAGCGCCGCTTCAAGGCTGACTCCGGATTTAATATTCTCCCGTGCAAAAACGTTTATTGAGACGGGAGAATTACATCGAGCGAGTCCTACTCTCATCGATTAGCCAACCCTTCGGCATCGCTGCTCGAGTCGGCTCGAACCTAAGACTTCGAGAGGTTCCTTCAATCACTCAGCTTCTGGCGACTGTATAACAGGCGACGTTCTCGAGCTCTTCGTGCGGGCATCTTCCAACCCCTTGCCTCGGGATTTCTATCGCCGCTGCACTTGCCAAAATGATTTTATCGTTCGCGGTTTCGGGGAGGGTTTCTTGTCTCGGTGGGAACCTACATACACGCTGGACACTGAATATTCATAATAGAGGAACGTCGCTATGTGTCCACCGAATAAATATGGAGAATATCCGTGTATGTTAGACTCAGCTTGAAATCTGTGTCACTATTACTGCTCTGTATTATAGTGCCAAGGGGTGAAGAATATTAAGGTCACCTTATTAAACGAAAACGACGGAAAACCACCTAAAGCGCTCTAGACATCTCCAACAGTGAAATCATCAGGAATTCTCTTTCTCTTAAAACTAACATTTAATCACTGGAAACAACCCTCGAGCGTAAATCAAAATCGATTTTAATGAACTAACCGAAACTCGTATGGAATACAAAATCCAAATTTCCCTAAAAATTCATTCGATGTCATCAATTTTAAAACGTCCAATTCAAAGTTCCAACGATTCTAACGTGGATCCGGTAGGTAAGGGTTGAAAACCGTCGTTCTCATGGAGATGTTCGGCCGTCGACACACGATCAGTCGGAGGAACGAAAAATCGAAGACAACGGAAGCGATGAATGGACAATCGCCGCGATGAACGAGCGCGGAGATGCATTCCTCGCGTTGTCACGCGCGAGAAGAAGAATGGACAGTTGCGTGCGTGCGTGCGTGCGTGCGCGCGTGCACGCACACCGTCACGTAGCCGTGCACGGGCCGCCGGTGGAACGCCGGGGCAATACGTCATGGCAGTATTGCAGTCTAAATCTCGGTACTTTTATGGGGCAGTAAAGTAAAACGGTCTGACAACAACTCCGGTGGCACATACGCCTTCCATCTGTCCATCAGGCTCGCGCGCGCCACTAGATCGCGCCACGCGCGGGACCTCGCGCCTCTTAATCGACGGGGACACGTATACCGCGCTGATAGAAAGAAGACACCTGATAGGAAGTCTGCCGAACGATCAGTCGAGTTGAAATGGATCACTTTCTTTGCAAAGAATTATTACGTTATCAATGTCGTTGGTACTTAACCCTTTGCATTAGAGAGATGACACTCAGTCGGCGCTTGGTTTGATGCAGCGAAACTATGAAGTAGAATATTTAGCATTCTAAATTAAACTTTCTATTGCTGTGGGAAATGTTTGACTAAAATAACTTTGTTGCTTAAGTTATCTGTGAATTATCGGTCAATTAGGTTCAACGTCGTCTATATTTCGTTGGAAAATGTTGATTTTCGGTGAGACTATAGTTTACTCGATGAAACGATTTGGAAAGATTTCTATGTTGTAAATAATGCTATCTAATATTCAGATGAAACATTCAGCTAGATATGTAATAATCGTGATGCAATTTAACCAAATGATTTAATATTATGTTTTTCCTATTGTGTGTATTTTGCTTTGAAATCGTGCGGCGTTCAGCGTGTTAAGAAATGAAAATGTAATTAACAGTGCAATAAATCAGAAGATATTGAGAAATTCTAATATACCAATATAAACACCGATTAAACTGAAAATTGAATAACAACCCTACAGATTTGGACAGCAATCACGAAAATATCAAGCAAATGCAATTGAAAACAAGGACACGACTTAAATGTCCATCACCAGCGTCGTAATTTTTCCGTCGTTACGCCAGGGAACCCGGGTTCGTTGAATGAAGTGCCTGTGACCCAATTGGTCCTCGCCATTAGAAGTGTTTAACGCTGAAACGTAACCCTAGACAATGTTTGGGTGGTCCTCTCGAGGAAACTCGTCTTTCACGGGGTGCTTGAGAGACCGACCGTGCAGGGGTCCGAGTATCGAGAGTCCCCGCGATACAGCTGCACAAGTCAAAATAAAAAATTGAAGCATTCGAAAATTCACCTAATAACACCCCAATTCATTCTTTCGAACGCCGGACAACAATGAAACGAGCAAAACATCGCCGGCGAATTAACCTGAGTAATTAATTGACCGAAAGGAACTATCTTCTTCTCGAGTTTATTGCCCGCACGGTAAACTGGTTAGCAGGATATCGTCCCCGGTGATTAAATATTTGAGCAAAGTAATTATTCTTCGTCGCGCGGGAACGCCAGACAGACTGTCTGCCATTATTCAACGCTCCTCATCAACGGGGACAACGAAACCGTTTTTCCTCTGAATCGTGCTTGAATGGAGTCGCGAAAGGTGAACTTGAATCGCGCAATAAACGGCGCCGGTAAGAGGTGGCTGAACTTGAGACCGATATATAAAACGACTGTGCGTTGTGTAATTGATCCATTAACGGGTTTCCTTCGTTCTCTCCTTTTCTTTTCTTTCATCCGTCTTCTTTTTTTATTAGCGCAATAACGCGGCGGGCAAAAGGTTCCCGCTCGGGGTGGAATCTATAAATTCCCCCGTCCGTCCGCGCTCCCGAGGCTCGCCGATTTCGATTCGGCGGCGGTATCGATAAGCGCGCAGAATCCTTCCTCGTAATCCGGGACGAGCGATCGACGACGAATATCGAGAAGGGAGCGGCCCCGGAAGAAAAGTTTTATCGTTCGCTCGGTTGTGCCTTCAGCGTTTCGTGAAAAGCTAGCAGACTTCCCGGTCTTACGGGAAAATTGGGCGAGAACGCCCGATCGATTTTTCGCGGCGGCTCGCCGCGTATTAATGGCTGCTTGTAATCTTCGCGAGCTTACTTCGGACATAATGGAGATGTTAATTTAGCGTTTGGGAAATTATACGATATCCGAAGACGATAATAATATTATAATAGACAATTAATTATTGTCTATCCAGCTTGAGCTGTGAGCTTACTTCGGACGTAATAGAGACGTTAATTCAGTGTTTAGGAAATTGTTCGATATCTGAAGACAATAATAATATTATGATAGAAAATTAATTAGAAATAAAATGTTTGGTAAAATAGAAGATTATCCAGCATTCTACTAAAAAATTTGCAGACTAAGTTATATACAATTGTAACCGTGCAATTAATTCGAACATTGTATAATACAGTAATGTCAATAGATGCTCTAACAAAGTTCTCAAAGATCTCCCATTGATATCGCAGAAACAATGTTCGCCGAACCCGCTGTAAATCCATCAAGGAAACCGACAAGAAATAACAAAGGAAAGTGGTCAATGAAACCGCACGGTGAAGACATAACGAGAAATGAACTTCCAACGGCTCCACGTGACAAGATAATTGTACGGTATTCAATGGAATAACGTGGACGATAATTAGCTGATTAACCGGAGATAATGAGTCGGATCGGCGAACGATCGTACACGTGTCGTAAGCAGGAAGCACGAGATCCACTCGAACACGAGTGCGATAAATCGCGGGGGAGGCGCGAGCCACCTGACGTTTGTTGTACAGGCGACGCGATCATGAATGGACTTTATAGCGACCCGCCCATTTATAGGTAGTATGCGCGGTTTAGTGGCTATGGGTTTTAGTACGACGCAGTTGTATACAATCCTCTGTTTACGGCGAGTACGTATACCCGGGAAACGGTTACGCTTATCGGCAGCTTTTTACTTCGAGATTTCGAGGTCGGGATTAACCCGTCGTGACCGAGCGGGTTGACCGGCTCCTGCGAAATGTTCATTAGTTGATGAAGTCCTTCATTTCGTTGAATATATTCTTATTAATATATTCTCGCGTTCTATCAGTTAGATGATGAACGAGTACTTCGGTTCGGGAATATAGTTTCATTTAGTCTTTGACACTCGTGATTTAGATGATCAACGAGTATTTTCATTCCAATATAGTTTTCGTATCTTCCGGTACTCGTGTTCTATCATTTAGATGATCAACGAGTATTTCAATTCGCTGAATACATGTGTTGCATCTTTTGATAGGCTGCTTTCTATCATTTTTCAAGTGACTTCGTTAGGGCTGAGAGCAATCTTCATCGTTCTTCTGGTTTCTGCTGATTTTGTCGCAGTGTTTCGTGTTTAGTTGAACTTCGATGGTCTTCGACGATTCGATTTCTTCCGTGAGGTACAGTTTCGTTTATGCGATTGCCAAGTGTCGTTACACGGAACATGTTCTAACCGCGAGATGACTCGAGGAAACGATCGAATACTTTTTTCAATGGTACTGACAGATTTTCGGATTATAATCAAAATATGACGTAGTGCGTATCGGAATAATAACATTCCGGGAAATATCTGGTAAAGGTAATATAGAAATAGGAGCTTGCGCAACTCACCTTGTATACCGGCCAGTGTTCCCGGCTGGAACACGCGGGAAAGCCTGCAACATTAGCGAATGGATTCATAAAATACTGCCGATTGTATAAGAAGCGTCTCGCGAATCCTTCTTTAAGCACTTAATCTCGATTTTTAGCGTACGGCGTAACTGTACGCCGTGCATGGCTTTATTGGATTCCGATTAAATGTACCGAGTGATTGACAATTAGCGAAAGACGTTATGAATTACCTGCTGCACAGCTCGAACGGGTGGAACGTCTTCTCCACGGCGCCGTACACTTTGAGGCCTTTTATTTACTGGTCCACGAAGAAAAACATCAGCCTGAAGCAGAAAAAAACGACGATGGAAAATTGAACGAGCCGATCGCTGATATGCATCGTCTCGTCACCGTGACTTTATGTAAGCTTTTGTGCTTCGTATCGCGCCAGGTATAAAGTTCCGTATCGTGTATACCGGTTAATGGACCCACGGCTCATAATGGGACGCTCTTTACCCTGGTACTTCCGAAATCTTCGCTTTTATTCCTCGGTTCCCTTGCTTCTCTCTATAATATTCGGTTGACGCAAACATTTTCACGTTTTTTGTATACGGTTAACGACGAAGCCTTTTTCTTCGCAACAAAGAACATCTGTTTTCAAACTATTGTAACGTGTAACTTATAAAAGGCACTTCTTTCTTCGTTTTTACTTAAGCTTTGCTTTACCCAGCGAACTGTCGAGAACACTTCTTTTTATTTCTTAGAAAAAAACGTCGAAACTGCCGTACATTATGCAGGAGTTAAATTCAATACTTTACATCTTATATACAGTGGCGTTCGAAAGTTCCCGACTAGTTTTTGGAATTCTTAGACGATAAAGACTTTAAAAACTCTTTACTATTATAATATATAAAGAACATATTGCTTAAGGGTACTACACAAAAATCAACGCCATTCTTTACACATAATACTAGAAATACCGAGCATTTAATACGATTAATATGTAATCTCTATAAAAATTGTAGTAATAGATAATTTTTAGTTTCTTCGGGCATTTGTTATAGTATTCGAGTGAAACTATTTATTTCCGAAATCATTTCGAATATTTAAAGCTCTCAAATATTCAATAATTGCGAAATAAGAAAATCGAAACCAGTCACTTTGACTAGCAGTTTTAGTGTTAATGACACATCGATGTGGCATGGACTCAATTCCAAAAACTTTCTCTTTTCTTACACATACTCCCTTTGTCTCGCACGTATATCGTATACCTAACATTCACGAATTGTTCTCTGACAGTTCAATTGAATAACTCGATACTACATTTCCTTGAATTTCCTGTATTCCGTTACACACGCGTATTAACCAGTTAACTGCGTTTGGCGAGTATACACGTCATCTTAAAGCTCGAAATGGTACTAATTCTTTCAACAATGAATTCCTCATTTTCTCAGATAAACATATAATTCTTCCTTGTTTCACTTTGGTTTTCCAGATGTATTCGCCTTGCGTTTGACAAGTACACACTACATTTCTTGATTTTATTGTGCACGAAACAAGAGATTTTTGAAAAATTCCACGGTTAACAGGTTAAATTGAACCGAATCAATGCAGAAAACATGGAGAATTGCTTCGAAGAGTTGTTTACCCATTCCCCGAGCCGAAATCTCGTCGGAGCCGCACCCCAAAACCGTCGCCCGCCATCTCTCTCCCTCGCCGACGTCACAGAGGCGAATCGTGGGCGTGCCTATGAATTTCGATTTGCCGCGTGTAGCCAGCGTAAATATCAAAACCGAGGCTGGAGGTGAAAAATGTGGAAATATTCTCCGGAGGTGTCTGCCGAGTCAAATCTCCGGGGGTGAGTTTACGGCGGATCAGTGAACGCCGCGTAGAGGGAGAGACGTGTCAATTTAGCGCGCGAGAGGGGAGGAACGGAGGACGGATGGTGGAAGAGAGATTCGTAACGGTCTAGGAAAATGATGCGTTTCGAAAATGTCTATCCCGCGAGTGATTCAATTTGAACGTCCAATAAAACGTTAGTTCCTTTCTTAAACGTTTTATCGTCTATGCATTCAAATTGTATGATTCTATAAATTTGTCTTGTTTAAACACTCTCATTTACGGAAATTATTACGAAAATTGTAACGATTATTGATAATATACAAATTAAACTGAATTTTTAGGTATACATGATATACTCAAATTTAAATAGGTACTAGAAACGTAGCTTTGATCGATCATTAATATTTATTATACACTCTACATTAGAAGTCTTCTAATCTTCTCCCCATTCCAATTCCCATAGCGTAAACTCCGAATAAACTAAACCAACTTTCCATAAACAATCTACAAGTAACAATAAAAAGTATCCCATGTTCAACCCCCAAACTCCGCAATACCTACCATTCCCAGTGAACACAATACACAAAGTCTCGCACCTCACGAACTCACCCCCACTCTCAACTCCCCGAAACCCTCGACAAAAAGAATAAAAACCGATCGGATACCGATCTCGCAGTTCGCAGGCGATAAACGGTGTTCACGGGAACGCGCGTGGAGTCGTTAACGAGACGGCGCGTAACAATCGTTCCGGAGAGCCGGCCCGCCGAACTTACCCCCGTTTCTGGTACACAAATCCCTGCCCATCCGTGTTGCACAAAAGGGTCGACAAGTTTCTTTCGTGAAAGGGAGCCGACGGGGGTAGGAAGAGGGAAACGGCGAAGCCCGGCGAAATGTGGGCAGGACGTGCTGCGGCTGATATTACCCAAGGAGTCCGAGTAAAAGCTGTGGGGGTGGACGAGTCCGCCAGGGGGAGAGAACACGTCGGTCAACGTCCGTGTGTGTATAGAAGAGATTCGGACGTAGGGCGACGCAACAGCCGGACACGAGAAAGCTCTCGCGACCCAGCTGTAGCCCGCGACAGGCCTAGGGTGGCTCCGAGCGGTGCCATTTCTATGAAACGATTCGCGGAAGCCGTCCATTTATCATTCACGCAGGGCAACCCGTGTGCGAATGAGAAGGTGGACGTTTAATTGAATTGGAGATCTTGATTCGGGGCGATTGTTTCCATCGGGTTGGGTTTTATCAATTATGCTACCCTCGCGCGAATCAGTACGGCGATGGTTAATTGAATTGGAAATTTTGATTTCGGCTGTAGGTAAGAGGGTTAACATGGATCCGTTTGAGCTGAGGTCTGAGGACATACGGGGATGGAAAGGACAAAGGAATTTAATACTTGTACGTTGTTAATTACATTGATTTCTTTGTAGATTGGATTGTCGTTGATGTTAAGAATTGAGCATGAAAGTGAACGGAAGAGTATTTTAATTGATGGCACGTGAATTAGACGTGATTTTGATATGTGAAATTGAATGTTTGTGGTCGTATAGGGATGCCAGGGTGGAGAACAGTTTTCGGTAACGGCGAGTCAACGGGTTTAATCGCGGAAGGTCAGTTAAAAAATTATCAACCGACCGACTAGAAATATCGGACACTTCACCTTGACCTGTGGATTACGAGGAAATTTATTACCCTCGAAGTGACTTTAACGCACGTTTTCGATAACGCCCTGTGCCACTGTAATGGGTCGATATTTATCGCCTCGTTATCCCACGGGGGTGGTTTATGTGAAGTAGACGGATTTTTCAGTAAACACCGGGTACTATAAACAGCCGCAACTTTCTAACCGCTCCAGAATGAACTTCGTGCGTCCGTTCCGCTTCCGAAAGCTCGTGCCAACTCTAGCGTCATCCGCCGCATTTTTTTCCCTTTTGACTAAATAAATATCTACCCCCTTTCAAATAAGTTCCAGTGATATTCCCAACGACCTTATACTCTTTTATACACGTATACTTTTTTCCTCGCGACAGTAATATATAAGATATTATATTTCTCTATTTCGAAAAGTTCAGCGATAACTTTCAGCCGCGCTCCATTTCAAAGCGGGGGGGGAGCAACGGGTGCCGAGAGAACTCCGCCCGAAAAAGGAGCGAGATTTAACATGGCCGAGATAATTAAAAAAAATCTGGTCCCTCAGGAGAGCCAGTTCCAGTCTTAATTCACGTCGGGGCCGCAGCACTAAACCACGGTAGAAAGGGTTGCATTCATTGCGCCCGACACCCCTTTCGGGAGATTACGAAACTGGAGTCACGAAAAAAAGTTTCTGTCGAATTAAACCCTTAGGAGGAAGCCTGGCCCCAGAGGGGCGGGGATTGGGAAGAGTTCCCTCGTAAAAGAAATATTTATCCGGGACCAACGGGCGGGATTAAGCGATAGCCCCGGAATTTTCGTGGTTTAATTAAAAAGAGAAAGTTGAGATTATTCCTAAACGGGGGAAGCAATTTCGTCTGATAAATGCTCGCAAACCTTAAGAATAAATTGAAGTAGTATAATTAATCAACGGTAATGTAAGTAACAGTAAGTTTCTTGCAGTTTGGAGAATCAAAAATGCAACAAGAATATATTAGAAATATTTCGTCATTCGTGCGAGAGTTTCTTTAAACTCGGATTGTAATAAAAAAATTTATTATCGTTGCATTTCACACGTTCAACGTCGACAGACATTGATTTCTTGTGCAGCGAACTGTACACGCAACCCCTGATCGCTCAACCAAGTTATACGCGACCGACACAATCGTCATTCATCCGCAAAATGCGTCTATTCTATCCTTCAGGACTTCTTCCATCCCTTCCGCGAGGTCCTACGTCCTCAACCTATTTCATCATCTCTCTCCCCGCAACCTTTTCTTCGTAGCTGCTCGGGGAATCGGGGATTCCTCCGAGACGATCTATAAAAATCAACCCTTACACGACGCTCGTATGCATGCGCATACACTGTCGTTCAAAATTATTTGATCAGCGAATCTCCTACTAAAACAGATCCTCGTCCCCGGTTTCAATTTCTCTCGTTGCAATAAATATGGAACAATATATCTAACACATTGTTTATTTCATCGATATTCAAACTTAATCCCCCTTTGAATAAAACAATTATCAAACTCACTCATCTTTCCATTAACTACGTTAAATCTTTTATCGTATTAATTGAACACCAATGTAAAAAAGCGAAAAGGGTGAAAATTTCAAATACCCAAAGAAACGAGATAAAATGGAATACGAGAATTAATATCATCAATTTCCATGTATTTTCAATTTTCAATTGAACGATAAGTGTTCACGGCAGACGGGACACTTTTGAACAGCAGTGTACAGGAAATCCTCATCAATCGAGGCCGGTAAAATTGAAATATCTCCTGAGAGGATACAGAAAGGAGTCGCGAGGGGTTGCGTGTAGCGTCTCCGCGACGGTGAACTCGGCTCGGGCCGCGCAGGGGGTGGAAAAAGG